GGATGGGGGAGGGAGGAAGAAAGGAAGGAAAGACATACAATTATAATCTACTTCAAGCTATTTGAAGCCAATGCTAAAGACGAAACGATGCTAATAAATGGGAGCTGAAATCTTACTCAAACTCCCAGAACAACTACAAAATTATATTATTCTTTCGAAGTATCAGGAAGGAACGCAAAATCTTTTCAGGCAACCCCCCAAATTATCTGATAGACAATCAGAATGCTTGTTAGTTATAGGATGCTGAGTGACTTTCCCTGCCTCACCAGGAAAACCAGATAGGAATCACAACCAGGTCAGTTTATTCCACTTTATTTTCAAACTACCCTGACAGAACCTTGCAAGCCTTGAAAGTACAATTCTATCCCTACCAATTCTACCACTTAAGAAACTAGGGAGGGTTTCTTCCAAGCCTCTGGTCCAACTCACTGTCCAGCTGTGGGCCATGTCCTCTCTTCTCTGGCCCTTCCCTTGGCAGCCGGTCTTCATTCCATCTCCCAAGGTCTTTCCCACAGGCCATCCGACAGTCATGAAATCCCCCCCAAAAAATCACCTCTTTCAGCGTATCCTCTGTCGTGCTGAAGTTGAGGTTTTTTATGAAAATGGTACAGCCTGGAAGACTTCCTTCTTCTTCTTCTTCCTCCTCCTCCTCCTCTTCCTCCCCCATTTCCTTCTGAGCATCACTTTTTTCAGAAACTCCTGCAAGAGAAGAAAACATGAGCGAATCCAAGGGAAGGAAGTACTAGAGGCTCAGCTTGGCTTTCAAAAATGTCGACCTTGAAGATCAAAGAAAAAGAAGACGCAGGATATTTTCAAACCTGGAACTTATTTTCTCCGTGGCTGGAAAAACGGGATAGAGAGCAAGAACTGAATTTGTATTACTAAGCAAAACGAGTCAACTCAGGCAACATGTTGTTCATTAAGCACCAATGAATTGTAACAATAAGAAAATTAATTTTTTTTAAAGTTAATTTGACAAGTCAGCCCCCAAGAGAGCAAGCCCATAGACCAGAGGCCAACTTTCTGGAGGGGCTCATCCTTTCTCTCTCTGTTATGCAGCTAGGGGCTATGCTCCCTCTTATCTAACAGCAAACACGTTATAATATCAATGAAGGAGAACATTTGTAGCTTAGGGTTGAAATGAGGGGTACTTGATGCTCTCTTGAGCTTGTTTTCTTGCAGACGTTTCATTACCAAACTAGGTAACCTCATCAGCACTGAAGTTATCTAGTTGGGTAATGAAACATCTGCAAGAAAACAAGCAAGCTCAGAGAGCACCAAGGACCCCACAGTCCTCCTCCTCCTCCTCCTTTCCACAAACCCCACTCCCTTCTAGCACTGATAAGATTACCATATCAATGTCCCCACATCAATGGGGACAAGAATGGAGTCCCCAACCAGGCATACCTCGGGCATCGGTGATGTCACCGGCTAATCCTTTCAACCTGGAAGCGCCTTAGGCACTTCCGACACAAAGGGGAGTATCAGCTCCCTACACGTACCTCTCTGGGTTTGTTCCTCGCCTTCCTTTTGCTCTTCCACCTCTGGTGTTTTCTTCCCGGGACCAGAAAAGACCCCCGTGGGTGCCCATTCGAGGTAGAGAGGGATATGCTGGAACTGAGCAAGGAAAAAAGGAAAACCAGTGCAGAGAAGTTAAAACCAGCAAAGGAAAAAAAAAACGTCCGGCCCAAATCCGTGTCAGGACAAAAAGTCTCCCAAGATCTGTTTAAGGCAGGGAGCCAAATCAAGGCTGAAAAGTGGATGGGATGGGTTTTTTCCCCCCGATCTTGGCGGCTTGGAGATGTGTGGGCTCCAACTCCCAGCATTCCCACACTGGCTGGGGAATTCTGGGAGCTGAAGTCCACAAGTCTTCAAGCTGCCAAGCTTGAGAAAACACTGGGGCAGGGTATCCGAGCGCGCTGCAGAATCGCTGGGATCCAATCGCCAGGCCTGCCTGCCACCCCTGGAGGCTTACCTTGGAGTAAGCTAACTTGGTAAAGGCCTTTTTGGCTTCTGTGGGTTCCAGGAACTCCACGATGGCGGTCACGCCTCCTTCCGGGAGCAGGACCCGCCCGAGGCTACCAAAAGGCTGGAACACCTCCTCCAGCTGCTCTGCCTTTGTGGCAGCAGGCAAGTTCTTCACCAAAATCACCGTCTTGCTCCGCTCTCCGGCAGCCTGGAAGAAAGGGAAGAGAGGCCGCGTTGCAAACCTAACTGGGTGTTTAAGAGCCACTTCCCTACCATCATCCAAAAGGCTATGGAAGCAAAGGATTCAGCAGCCCAAGGGCAGGGGTAGGCAACCTTGGCTCTTTTATGACTAGTGGACTTCAACTCCCAGAATTCCTGAGCCAGCCATGCTGAGGGGAAAGGGAGAGGTTTCCAAGCTGAGCCACGCTGGCTCAGGAATTCTGGGGGTTGAAGTCCATGAGTCATAAAAGAGCCAAGGTTGCCTACCCCTGGCCCAAGGGAAATACGTTTGCCGATTTGATCACTTCCCTGTTGGGAGGGGCTCCCTGCACGTAGAAAGGAGGAGAGAATCAGGGAATCTCCTTTTCTTCCTTGAGAACCTCAGAACAGGAAGAAAAAAAGAAATCAAGAGAAAAAGAAAAAAAGTGAAAGAAAACAAGATGGCGGAAAAAAAACAGAAAGGGAAGGAAAAAAAATAGAAAGTGTCTTTCAATATTCTTCACAGCAGATACAGGCACATATAGATTTGATGTGTATTTTTATATATTTTCACCTCTCTCTAAAGCTACGAGGTATTTCTTTCCTCTCTTATTGTCTATTCTTTCTAATCTTCAAAAGCACAAATCACGTTCATTATTATTATTTTTTCAGGTTGATGCCAAAAGCGGAGAAGGAGCTTCGGAACCACAGGACTGTTTTAACCAAACATGCTCTATCACAGGGGTCTACAACCTTGACACCTTTAAGTCTTGTGGACTTCAGCTCCCAGAATTCCCCAGCTGAGGAATTCTGGGAGCTGAAGTCCACAAGACTTAAAGGTGTCAAGGTTGCAGACCCCTGCTCTATCACACTCTCTTTTCGGATAGTTTCGCCCACTATTTATGATGTCCCAGATTTGGTGAGAAGGAAATGAGAGTTTGAACAGCCACGGCTGTCAACGCTGCAAATACTGTATATTCTTGCTTTGACAATGTGCAGAACTGTCTGGTATATATATAGTTAAACCAGCAACTGGGAAAGAGGGAGGAGCATAAGGATAGCCCGGGAGAAAGAAACCGGAAGTAAATCACATCTTCCAAGTTGATTGGAAGATGTGAACCATGACCCTACAATAAGGGAGTGGAAAATGCTTGGAATGTTATGCGTAACGGAAGAGAAGCAGACCTAAGCATTTCCACCATGCTGTGCTGACGTATTGTGACCTTAATAAATGCTTTTAGGAGAAAACATGCCTGAAAGTCCTTTTAAGTGTTTCGTTACTCAGACACATGACATTATGCTTAGGCTCTCTTACCTGGCTGAAGGAATCCAGACTGACTCCGTTTTCGAGCAGGAACCGGCGCACGTTTTGAACAAGCTCGGTTTCCCCAAGCGCCACCCTCACGGCCACGCTTCCCTTGCCTTCCTGACAAGAGAAAAAAAGGAAGTTCTCCAGATCCCTACGGTCGTAAATCCATATCGGTTGCCAAGTGCCCAAATCCTATCACCGTGGGGACCTTGCGACGGTTGTTACATGCAAGGAAGGGTTGCAATTCAGGTTTTTCAGCAGCGCTGTAACTTCCAACAGTTATAAGTTGAGGATTACCTGTAATTTCCCAGATAATCACCCACACTCAAGTTGCCGAATTTGAAAAGTACTGAATTTAGGGGAACGGGAAATATTTAGCGTAGAGTTGGAAGGCGGTTAAGGGCAAAACCCATTTAAATAAACACACGAATGAGAAAAAAAAAACTCTCACGTGATCCAGCACTTGACTTTTAGTGGCGTTGTATTTCTGTGCCACCGCGTCTGCCACGGCATTTGTCCCCATGAACAGGGTGTTCCAGTTGTGAGAGCTGGGTGGAGGAGAAACATTTGTGAGTTCTTGCGGTTGGGGAGGACGGGAAGAATAAAATGTCCCCGAAGTGGAGGAACAGAGGGCGAACGTGTCAGAATTTGCAGAATTTGGTCAGAGAACAAACAAGATAGTTTTGGTCTTCGTTCAGCAAAAAGTTTTTAAGAAGAGACTGGACAGCCATTTGTCTGAAATGGTATAGGGTTTCCTGCCTGAGCAGGGGGTTGGACTAGATGACCTCCAAGGTCCCTTCCAACATCATCATCATCATCATCATTATTCCTCCTCCTCCTCCTTCTTCTTCTTTCATTATATGAAAACTCTTTGATATAAAGAAAAGAGAGAGAGGAAGACAAGCTCGTGGAAGCACAAACCTCAAGCTGTTTGCTTTATCTTTTGAAGCTTTTTGTTTCTTGTACGAAGACGATCCGGCAGGATCTGAACTCTCCGCTTCTTCCTTCTTGATGGTGGAAGGCAAGACATGCAGCATTCGGCCCTAAGGGACAAAAAAGAACGCTTGAAATGTCGATCCTGGAAAGAGGACCACTGGAAAAGCCCAAAGTTATCCTGCATCCCTAGCCTTGGGAAAATCTCTCCAACGCTCAAGCTTCAAAACCCAAGAAAGACACGCTGAGATTCGGCAAAGGGACGCCCACCCGATCCGTTCGTACCTGGAAAACCTGTCCATCCACTTCTGCAAAGGCCTTCACGGCATGCTCAGGAAACATGTAGGTGACAAACGCAAAGCCTTTGGGCCTCTTGGTGAGACCGTCCATGGGGAAGTGGATCTCGGAGACAGGGCCTGTGGAAGGACAGATGCATTGGGGAAAGGCTGCGGGAGCAGATGTTGAAATCTAAGAGAGCCTGTCCTGTTTTAGAAACAACATTTTGGAAAAAGAGGCCCCAGGCCCCACCAAACGAGAACCAGGGTGAGAATTTACCGTATTTGGAAAAGGTGGCCTCCAGTTCTTCTTCGGTGCAGGTGTAAGGCAGGTTCCGCACAAAAAGCCTTCCTGATTCCGAAAGATCCTCTTCTTCCTCGTCATCCTTTTTGGCCCTCTGCCAGGCCTGGCCTGACCCCTTCTCAGGGGGCTTCGCCTGAGCGCCCCGCTCTTCTGGAAACAGCTCAATATACCGACCGCCTGCCAGGCAAAATGCAAAACACAGGCGATCCTCGACTTACGAGCACAAAGTTTCTCCGGTTAAGCGAGACGTTTGTTAGTTTTTTTGCCCCATTTTATGACTTTCCTTGCCCCGGTTGTTAAGTGAATCACTGCAGTTGTTAAGTTAGCCACCCAGCTGTGAAGTGAGTCTGGCTTCCCCTGCTGACTTGGCTTGTCAGAAGGTCGCCAAAGGGGATCACTCTGCAACCGTCGTAAATATGAGTCGGTTGTACAAGTGTCCGAATTTTAATCACATGACCACAGGGATGCTGTGACGGTCGTAAGTGTGAAAAATGGTCACAAGTCACTTTTTTTCAGTGCTGTTGCAACTCTGAACGCTCCTTAAATGAACTGTTGTTAAGTCAATGTTTCTGTATCGCAGAAAAAAACAAAAAACTCCTTTTTGGGAAAAATCTGGGCAAAGACGCTCTTTTGCTGAAACAGCGTCAATGTCAACCCTTTCTCAAAGGCCAAGAAAATCCCCCCAAATCATTGGTAAACAGGGGTGCCCTCAGATGGACATCCCAAAAAGAGGCAAGTTTTACTTCCCAAAACTAAATTTGTGCCCTTATAGTAGGTAAACTTAAGATGTTTTGCTTAAAAAGGCAACGCCTCCACCACCTTTGTGCAGGAAGCAAACAAAAAAAGCCACTTTTAGCCCAAAGTTCCTTTCCTTAGTCAAAAAAACGGAGACTCACCCATGTATTCTCGGTTCCTTTTTAAGGCTTTCTGTAGTTCTTCCTCAGTATTAAAATCAACAAATACATACCCTGCGAAATTTGAAAATGATTGATAGTTTATTATTTAGACCTGTGCAAACCACTCTCATTAACAAACAAAAGGTAATAAGAACCGTGTATCCAAGCGCCTAAACGACAAATCCCATTATTACCTGTCTTGTTCCCATGCGCGTTCCTCACAATCCGGATCGCCAGGGGCCGAAGGGGCACAAAAAACTCTTTAACGTTTTGCTGCATCCGTAAAAGACAGACAAGCATGAAAAAGGCGGTTAATTTTACAGCCCACCCACATCCCTGCCCACGAAGCCGTGATCTTGAAAAAAGTCCTCCCAATATTTGACACTGGATTCCTATTCTGATCGATTTGGAAGGAAACCGCAATCCAGGTTTAACGTGCTCCAAGGAGGGTGAGATTTGTTTTTCTTTGGCAGACAAGTTTTAAACGGGTTAAAAGCTGGCTTACCTCCGTGACATTGAATGGGGCACCTCGCATCTTCACCGTGAATGCTGTGGTGGGCTCCTTGGCTGGAACTGTTCTGTCTTCCTACAGGAAGACATACAAAAACATCTGTGAGAACACAACAATCTGTATTTTTTATTTATAACAATAATAATATAGTTGGAAGGGACCTTGGAGGTCATCTAGTCCAACCCCCTGCTCAGCCAGGAAAACCCTATACCATTTCAGAGAAATGGCTGTCCAGTCTCTTCTTAAAAACTTCCAGTGTTGGAGCATCCAAGGTTGCCTACCCCTGCTTTAGACTGTGTCCTCCATTGGGACGTACCTGCGGCGTCATTTTTGTAGCCTTGGTGTCTGCAGAGAGATTCTGGACTCTCTCCTTCCCAGTCTGCTTGGTCTTCGGGTTAGAAGCAGTGCCTGGCTGGTGGCTGGTCTTCCCTTCCGTCTCTCCTTCCTCTCCTCCATCAGATGCCTCGCTGTCCGTCTCCTCGGCCTCGCTCTCCTCTGCCGACGAAGGCGAGGATTCATCCCCCTTCACCACTTTGGATCGCAGATAATCCATATCGGAGAGTTCTTGCTCAATTGCTGCCTTACTCGGAGAGCTTTCTCCCTTCTCTGGGGAGGGAGACAAAAAAAGGGCATCAGCTATTGCCTGGCGGACCCCCGTTTGACTTAGGAAGTCACTAAAAGGGCGCAGACCGATGTTGGATCCAGCTTTCAGGTGGAAAGCGAGAAGGGACACGAAATATAGCAATAGCACAACACTTATAGCCCTCTCTGAGTAGTTTACAACGTCAGCATATTGCCCACAACAATCTGGGTCCTCATTTTACCGATCTTGGAATGATCGGTAAACATTTCTCTTCTCCTGCAAGAAGCTCCTTCAGTTCTAGCTGAAGAAGAGTTGGAACCGAAGAAGCTTTTTAGGTGAGAAGCAAAACGCTTTCAAAGAAAAACACCAAGCAAGTCCAGTTGCCTTTTGGAGATTGAAAAAAAAAAAGAAGAAATAGGATACTTTCAAACTTGGGACTTATTTTATCAATGGCTGGAGAAAAGAACAAAGGATTAGGAATTCAATTTGTATTAGTGAAGGATCACTCAGACAACACGTTTGCTGAATAAGTACTTTTGAATTGTATTAAAAAATACAATTGTATTAAAATTGTATTAAAAATAAATTAATAAGTAAAAGAGTTGGAACTGAAGAAAACATTTTCAAAGAAAAACATCAAGAAATGTTACTTTTTGGAAAAAGGACCTTTGGGACAATGCTCAAGAAATTATTGATAAACTATCACAAAATAACAGAATGGGGCCCTTACTTTGAGCAACCTCCGCATCCATCTCCTCGCTCGAGTCCTCATCGGAATCAAAGTTCAGATAATCTTCAACCACCTCAGCCTGGTGGGGGTCTTGGATTTTTGTGTCATTGGACCAAGTTGCAACCTGGGACCTTTTCTGATGTACTGCCAAGAAGTCTTGAAATGCTGCTTCTCCTTCCAACTGGCCAAAGATAGGATCGTGGTTAGAAAGGATCATGGTTAAAAAAAATTCACAATATTTGGGGCAACTCCTTCTCCAAGGGCAAAGTTTGAAGGATAATGTCCTCTATTTCAGGATGTCGTTATTTCAAGGACATGAAAAAAAATATGGAAGGATCTCTCAGGATTCAGAAAAATCTCCATCAGTGCCGCAAATCTTGGAGAAGTTTAAATGAGGCTGGTTTGAGCAGCCACATTAATTGCTAATACGCTGCTAATTAGCTGCCAGTGTTTTTGACTCAGCAGCATACAAATAAAATAAACAACAAGTATTTTTTTCTCTATCCTTTTTTTTGCAGTGCAAGGAATGGAGTGACATAGAAAGTTGAGCCATAAAATAAACCAACAGAAGAATATAAGTAGCAACGCCAAAAGTAAAAGCAAAATAAAAAGTAGCATATTTTAAAAGTTGCAAAACCAACCATATCCACGCAAGTACAAAAGGGATACACTAGCAATCTTAAAAAGAGTAATGGAAAGTGATGTTACAAATTCAGTTAACTCCCAAAACAAAATGCCCATGTTGTTTTTTGTTAAAAAAAAAAACCCAAAACATCAAAAAACAAACTCCTTAATTCAAATGCTGACAAACACAACTCTTTTTGTTCACAGATATCTATCTATCCTCCTTGCAAGAGATTCAGAGTTACCTCTTTCAATTGTCCCGTTTTGTTTTTCTTCTTTGTTCCATCCTAGGAAACGTAAGGGAAAAAAGGTTTTAAAACATCACACGCTCCATATAAAAGGAAATGTTAAAATGGATTTAAAAGTCACTAGGTTGAGGCAGAGACAAGAAAGTAGAATAGCTGAAAGTCTTTACCTAAAGGCAATTTGACATGCAATAAAGCTTGTGGGGGGGGGGGAATCTCTTTTTCTTACTTGTTTTATTTCTGCATGGTCTGAATTCTTTGTGGATTTTTTAGAGGTTTCCTTTAACAGTTGAGGCTTACTCGAATGTTTACTCCAAGCTTTAGACTTTGATGGATCCCCAAAAGACTTACATACTTCAACCTGGAGGGGGAAAAAAAGATATTTATAAGCCCGCTGTCTATATGGAGATTCTCAGCCATCCTAGTCATGGTTGTGGGAAGATGCTGTTCAAAAGACAATTGGATTTTCTTGGGGTTTTTTTTCTCAAAAACATTTCGCTTCTCATCTAAGAAGTTTTTTTCATTTCTAACTGAAGAAGAGTTAGAACTGAAAAAGCTTCTTGGATGAGAAGTGAAACATTTTGAAAGAAAAACAATGAGCCCACCCAAACCTCACTCTTGTTTCATGAAAGTGAATTTATACAGGAGATCAAGATACTATATGGTGTCTTCATCTGCCCTAGATCATCCTCAAGAGATGAACCAAATACTGTAGTTTCTGAATAACAGACTAAGGATTAACATTATTTTGCACCTTGAAGTCCTAGAAAACTCCCAACAGCCTGAAAATGTCCAGAATTGCTGGTTCGATCTCAAAGGCTAAACAAATTTCAAGGGCTCACCGTGACTCTGGATGTGTCTATGAAGCTTTTGTTGAAATGAGACTGGGCAGTTTTGGCGTCTTCTTCTGACTGAAAGCCAATAAATCCAAATTTGCGGAATTTGCCATCCTTGGTGAATTTCAAGCAGCAATCGGTCAGCGTGCCAAAGGCGGCGAAGAGGTGGCGAAAGCGTTCTTCCTTGATCTGTAGGAGAAGCAATCACAATCAAATCATGGAAGCAGAGTTAAGAAAGCTAACATGAATCGCGTTACATGGTCACATTCTCCTGGATGAAGCATTTTCTACCACAGCCAGTTGGGTTTTTTTTTTTCTGCTTCAATGGTATCTGATTCTCAGGGCTGGCGGGATAAGTCTGCAGTTTTCTTGACAATATTTTTCAGAAGTGGCTTGTTATTGCTTCTATCCTAGGGCTGAGAGTGAGGGACGGACCCAAAGTCACCCAGCTGACTTCACCCCCAGGGCAGAACTAGAACTCACAGTCTCCCAGTTTCAAGCTTGGTGCCTTAACGACCAGATCTAACTTGCTCTCAATTGCTTTTGTATTATTATTTTCTTTCCAATCATGTCCAATTCTTGGAGACTGCCTGCACAAATCCCTGCACTTTTCTTGGTAAAACTGCAGTGGTTTGACATTGCTGCCTTCTTAGGGCAGAGAGAGAGGGACTGGCCCAAAGTCACCCAGCCTG